GATCGTCGGAGCTTAGGAATGACACAGCTCCGGCCATGGAGGAAGCTAGGGTTAGAAGTGAGAGACGAGAGAGAAGATAAATTTTGTATCTGGATTGTGTATATGTGAGGGTATAATAGTCTGATAAAATATTTAAATAATAAATTTTGTCCTTTATGCAAGATTTTATAATTATGAGGGGGTTTAGAAGTATAATTTTTTTCTTAGTCCTTCTAACAATGAAAGGAAGGTAAAGGGGGTTTATAGCCAAATTTCCTTAAAATTTATTCGATTATTTAGGGTCTATAATATTTCCCTATCAACAAAAGATAGGTGCTAGCCATCATTTTTAAAAGTGCAGGTGTGTTTTTATAATTATAATAACTCTAAGGGTTCGTTTGGTATGTGAGTTGGTTTTTTGATTTTTCTATTTTTTTATTATTTAAGCATAAGGTTAAAAAGTCTCGTTTGAGATAGATTTTTTGATTTTTTTTAACTTTTATGAGAAAAAAATAAAATAACTATAATTTAGATGAGATATTTTATCTTATTAAATTAAAAAAATTATTTTATTTTTTACAACTAAAATAATTAAAAAATTAAAAAATTTGACATGTTAAACGGAAGTTAAGGACTGTAGTTTAATTATTCAATAATTTGTTGCAAAGTATTAATTTTGCCTATGAAGTGGATATAATGATAATGACACGACATCACTTATTAATGCAACTTTACCTAAACTAAATTCTTAAATGTATCAATCAATAAAAAAAAAAATGAAATAGAAGTCTTAAGATGTGGACATATATGCCATCAATTTTGGCAATTTTGACTTTGACTTCTCATAATCAAGCTTTTATCAATGTTCACACCCTTCCTAAAATAAGAAAGCAGTAAGGATATGTGTATAGAATTGACGTACAAAAAAATTTTAAAAAATTATTATATAATTTAGATTTAATTTATATATTGTGGAGTTTATTTGTAAAATAAATTTGAGACAAAAAATAGTGGGTATAGAGAAGTCCATATTTGTATCATATTTGGACTTATTTGCTAAAATTTGTTATAAATTAAAAATTAATAATCAAAAAATATAAATAAAAATTATCTCTTTTTTTAGTTTTTAGATAATTAATTTTTTTAATCTTATTTAAACTATTTATATTTATACTTTATAAATAAAAATTGTAACAGATAGGACCCTTTGTAGTTTGTATCATTTGTCACTTGTTATTATTTCAAGTTAGATATGTTCGTTTAGCCTTTATTTTATCATTTCTCTAGGGGTAAGTTAAATATAAACTCTATTTCAAATCCTAAAAAAACTAATAATAAATTATCAACTATTTCGTAATTGCTTATATAACATATAAATATTAAGGTCTCGTTTGGGAACCCTCATTTTTAGTAAAAAAGTCAAAAAATTATTAGATTAGTCAAAAAGTCAACAACTCATACTAAAAAGTCAAAAATTCTCTTTTCTCTCTACTTTTTGCACATTTTTTCGTAAAAAGTCAAAAAGTTATCCCAAACATACTAGTTTTTTTAGCTCATATTTTAGCTAAATAGCCAAAAAGTTACTAAATTAGCCTATTCTCAAACGAGGCCTAAATATAATAATGATACTGCTATAAATTATATAAGTCTCTGTTTGGCAAGTGAGATTTTTAATAAAAAAAATCACTCTAAATTATCATATCACTTTTTATATTTTTTTATAAAAAATTAAAATAACTAATTTCTAAACGAAACCTTAGTAATTTAGTGGAAGATAAAAAATATTCGCCTAATTATAATGTTTTCGTTCTATTATTATTTATCCTAAATATTACGTATAAATGCAATCCCTAAAATAAGGAGATTAGGCACATGCGGTGAAGATATTAATTTTTAGTTGAAAACATCACTTTTTCAAATGAGATTATGAGCCAATTTGGTAACACAGTTAAAAGTCAAAAACTAACTTTTAATTTATTTTAAATCATATCATCTTTTATATTTTTTACAAATTTTTTTTAAAAAGATTAAAAAAAATCAAAAAGTTAACTTTTAACGATCTTCCCAAAACACCCATATAAATTGCTATTATCACATGATAAAATATTGGTACAATGTACTTTCTTTTTTATAAAGATATTTTAGTATTTTTATATACTCGTATATAAGAAAAGTGAATGATGTTATCATTTTTAGGGCTGAGCAAGAAATCCGTAAAATCCGTAATCCGATCCAGTCCAGTCCAATCCGATAGGTTTGGATTGGTTTTTCGAATCCGTGGTTCGGTTCCGGATTGAAGAATTAAAAATCCGTAGTCCACGGATTGGTTCCGGATTGAACCTCACGGTTCCGGATTGGAACCGATCCGGACCGTATACAAATAGTCTATATTTTTATTATACATCCTCCCCCATAGTATCTTCTCTTATTCTATATAAAATCTAAACTCAAACCTAAACCTTTACACTTTATACTTACACCTTTTGTAAAAAATTAAACCTTACACTTACACCTTTTTTGAGGTTGCACACCATGTGCAACCCACTTACACCTTACACCTTACACTTACACCTTACACTTACACCTTATACTTATACTTACACCTTACACTTACACTTTTTGTGTAAGTGGCACATGGTGTGCACTTGCACACTTAAGAAAACTCCTATTATTTATCCTAAATATTACGTATAAATGCAATCCCTAAAATAAGGAGATTAGGCACATGCGGTGAAGATATTAATTTTTAGTTGAAAACATCACTTTTTCAAATGAGATTATGAGCCAATTTGGTAACACAGTTAAAAGTCAAAAATTAACTTTTAATTTATTTTGAATCATATCATCTTTTACATTTTTTACAAATATTTTTTAAAAAAATTAAAAAAAATCAAAAAATTAACTTTTAACGATCTTCTCAAAACACCCATATAAATTGCTATTATCACATGATAAAAATATTGGTACAATGTACTTTCTTTTTTATAAAGATATTTTAGTATTTTTATATACTCGTATATAAGAAAAGTGCATGATGTTATCATTTTACACTATATTATTATAAAGAAAATTAATTTGTAAGCATAATTGAATTGAAATTGAGATTGAATTTCTTCGTCGTTTTGTTTTAATTCATATAATTCATTGTAATGGTTTTTTTTTTTTTTTTGATGACATAATAATTTTATAATAACATACATGAATGATGGCCTTTCCGAGTTATAAAAACAAAATAAAAATCCATAAATGATAGCTTTTTTGAATAAATTTCATAATAATATATGAGATATTTTATATTTTGTGATATTTAAAAATAATCAGTGTAAAATTATTTAAAAAATTATAATATTAAAAAAATTATTCATTCAAAAACATATCAAAATGATGTGAAAATGTCACTTTGTAAATAAAAACCATAGGAGTATTATTTTGTTTTAATGTGAAATATATACATTAAGCTATAACACTATGTATAATTCCTTTTTCAAAATTTATGTTTATACTCCCCCATCTCAAAACAATGATTCCTTTTGAGAAATCTAACCTTTTTTTTTTTTGATAGTACAATTATTATACTTTAAAAAAATTGATTTTATAAAAATTACCCATTGATAGTATATTGTCGTTTTGAGTACAAAACAACATCAAAATGGCCAAAACGACGTCGTTTTGGCCATTTGAGCCATATTTGAGCCACAGAATTAGGGCCCCCAAACATTTTTCTTATGTTTATACTCCCCCGTCTCAAAACAATGATTCCTTTTGAGAAATCTAACTTTTTTTTGATAGTACAATTATTATACTTTAAAAAAATTGATTTTATAAAAATTACCCATTGATAGTATATTTTTTAAGAAATATCAATATCATAATTGTACCTTTTAAAACGGGGGATGCACCAATAAATCTCAAATTAATAACTTATACACTGTTTAGTCCTAAAAGTTTTCTTATAGACTAAAAGGTCCCATTACAATGTTTCAAACATCAGATTAATGTTTCGAACATTAGATTTCGAACATCAGATTAATGTTTCGAACATTAGATTTTGAACATCAGATTAATGTTTCAAACATTAGATTGATGTGCAAATGGGACTAAATGGAGCATAAAAAAACTTTTAGGACTAAATGGTTCAACTTTTCAGAAACTAGGACTTATGGGTAAATTTTCCTTTTATATTATTAATGAATTTAAAAAAATTGTAAAATGGGAAATTTATATTATTTTTATATTTAATTTTTGAAAAATGAATAATATTTTGGGACAATAAGAAATAGAATAATAGACTAATATTATGGGACAGAATGAGTACATTATTATTAGGCAAATAAAAAAGAAAAATGCTTGGGAATACTAAAAAGAAAGTACTAGGAGGAGTGCTAATGATGTGGCAGTGGGCTCCGTCCACTTTTTATGCCTTGTTCTTTTTATTTTTGTTTTTTTATTACCATTTTCAATGTATTAGTGCTATTAATAGTGTATTTTTTAATGATCTAAATAAAAAATGACAAATTCAATTACTAATTCAATCTTTTTTAACGCGACTTCATTGCGCGTACTAGTACACGCGCCACAGACCATTCGCGTAGGAATGACCATAGTAAGCTCACCCCAATTAATGATCATTTTTGTGTATTTATTTTTCTAAAAATAATATGTTTAAAAGTTTTTTTTTTTTTTTTGATTTATAATTTTGTGATAAGAATGATGTGATAATTACATTATGAAAAATAAAAGTCATCTTAATGAATCTGTTTCTTTAAAGTAATAGAATTAAAATTTATCCTATCATTCGTTATTAATTTTTTGTATAATTTTTTTATTTGTATAATATTATTTTTCATTTTAAGTCATTAAACATGTAATTATGCATATCAAAAATAATTTATTTAAATCAAGGGTGAGACTTGCCAATTTGAGATGTTGTTGGACCTCTATGAACTCATCATAGAATCTATTTTGATAATTCAAAATAATTCATTTTTTTTATTTTTTTATTTTTTGAACTGGAAAGGCTCTCAAGTAACAAGAGAATTAGATACAAGCAAGTTCCTCAAATACAGAGGGGGATTCCTAATCCAATCTAAAGGGAGAACATCTTGCAATTTTGAGGAGGCAAGCCAATGGGTCACAGAATTAGCTATTGTAGGCACCCATGAGAAAGAAAAGGAGGAAGCTTGGCCCATGGACCGAATGTCAGATACGTATGCAAGGCACTCCCATGGAGGAACCAGTTTAGAGACACATAAGTCAATAACTGATTTGCAATCACTTTCCACCTGGACATTTGAGAGTCCAAGAGCCTGGAGAAACATACATGCTAACCAGATGGCGCGAGCTTCGCCTTGAGTGACTGAAGATGTGTGGACTGTGGAGACAACACCATCTATAAATTGACCTGTCCAATCCCGCAAGATCACTGCCAAGGAAGTCTTCTTGCCTTTGGAGGCAAAGCTAGCATCACAATTCGCTTTATACATACCGCGAGGAGGTGGAGTCCATCTGTTGCAATTTTGGACTGCTGAAATAACAGATACATGAGAAGAATCTGCCAAAGCGACCATCGAGCAGCCCTCCCTCTAGAGAAAGGAGGCCTGTCTGATAACCTGCATCGGGTCCACTTCCGATTGATTGAAAACCCACTCATTACGAGCCTTCTAAAGGCTCCACCCAACCGTGGCAGCCTTGCCTAAACACTCTTTGCGATCCCGATCATTATGACAACTCTTGAGAACTGCCTGAGTCCACTGTGTTGCAGAAGAGGAAGAATTGAACCCCGATAAGTAGCCGAGATCACACCCAAACCATACAGGCCTAGTCCAATTACACTAAAAAAGAAGGTGTTCAATAGACTCCGTACATGAACCACAGATAGGACAAGCAGGGGTAGGAGCACAATGCCGGCGATGAAGATTTTCTTTAGTAGCTAAACTGTTAGTACACACCCTCCACAAAAAAATTCAGACTTTTGGAGGCACTGGAAAAGACCAAATTAGATTCCAAAATTTTTCAGTGGGCTGAACTGAAGTAGAAGCCCCAAAGGCTACCCTTGACTGAGGATACTGCCGAAGGACCTAGTATCCACTTTTGACTTCGAAATTTCCAGTTTTGGTGTGGTGCTAAACTAGAGAGTCATCTTGGTTAACTGCGGGTATGGGAATGGTCATGATAGAGCAAGCTTCCTCATGTCCAACCAACTCTCGTAATTTACTAGAATCCCATTCCGGGAGATTCAGTTTTACACCTCACTGACCCTCTGAACATGGCAGTCCCGTGACTGAGGATTGATAACTTGAAAATTATGGGACTGAGGTACCCATTTATTCGTCCAGAAAATAATAGATTTTCCATTGCCAACTTGCCAGCGAAGTCCCTTGGTTAAGAGTTCACGACCCTGAAGTATGCTAACCCATGACCACGATGGCCTTCTACTCCTCGTTCCTGAAAGAAAATCTGATTGAGGATAGTAAAGGCTTTTTAACACCTTAGCACAGAAAGAATGAGGGTGCTTGAGGGGTCGCCAAGCTTGCTTTGCTAAGAGGGAAAGATTGAAGGAATGGAAATCTCGGAACCCCATACCACCCTGAGATTTTGTCAAAGCCAAACTAGTCCAGCTGGTCCTGTGAATACCCCTATCCAGTGGGTCACCCCCCACCAAAAGTTGCTGACGTAGGAGTTAAGTCGCACACAAAATTTCTTTGGAAAAGCAAAGCAGGCCATAGCATAGGCCGGGATCGCTTGAATCACTGATTTAATCAAAACTTCCCGCCCTGTTTATGAGAGCAAATTCTGCTTCCAACCTTGCATCTTTGTGACGGCCTTCTCAATCAAATAACCAAAAGCTTCTGACTTCGATCTACCCCAAAACAAAGGAAGGCCCAGGTATTTTGTCCCTCGGGAACTTGGAGACATCCCCAACAAAGCATTGACTTCGGACTTCACAGTGTGGGAGTATTTGCTAAGAAGATAATGCCTGATTTCTCAAAATTTATCCACTGACCAGAGGCAAGGCTATATATATCCAAAATTGCCTTAAGAGCCTGACAGTCCCTCCTATTTGCGTTAGCGAAAAGAAGGGCATCATCCGCAAAAAATAAGTGAGTAATAGTGGGGCATCCTCTGCGCATTGTGATTCCCAAAAGCACCTTCTCACGAAGCCCGTTAGACAGGGATAGGGACAGACCCTCGGCAATGAGGACAAAGAGGTAGGGAGACAAAGGGTCACCCTGTTGTAAACCCCGTGAAGGAACTACAGCCGCTCGTTTGAGATCATTTACAAACACCGAGAAAGAGATCGTGGACACTAACTGCATAACCCATTGAATCCAAATAGTGGCAAAACCCATCTTCTCCATTAGAGCACACAAAAAGTCCCATTGAACACGATCATAGGCCTTGTTGAAATCAATTTTAACCGCCATTTCATGCACAACACTTCGTTTCTTCAGCTTCAAGTGATGAAAGGCTTCATAGGCCACAATGATATTGTCTTGAATCAATCTACTAGGAACAAAGGCCGACTGTTGAGGTGAAATGATATTTTGAAGCACTGGTTTGAGTCTGTTGGCAAGAATTTTAGACACAATTTTGAGCTTAAAGTTACACAAACTGATTGGTCAAAACTGTGAGAGTGTCTCGGGCTTTTGGACCTTGGGAATTAGCACTAAATTGGTGTGATTCCACTCCTTGAGGAGGTGACCAATGGTAAAAAAAGGTTTTGATGGCCTCACAGACATCTACACCCAACACATCCCAGTATTTGTGATAGAAAACTCCCGAATAGCCATCAGGCCCGGGGCCTTTAGGGAACCAAGTTGGAAGGCAGCAGTTTTGATTTCCGAGTCGGTGACTGGTTTGGTTAACCTCCGGTTCATATCTTTGGTGACAAGATGCCCCACTACTGAAAGAGAATGAGCCAAATCCCTAGCCTGATCACTCTTGAAGAGGGTAGAGAAATAGCTAAACAAATGAGAATCAATATCCGCACCCGAGTTTAACCACATACCATTACCATCTAACAACTGAACCAGCTAATTTCACTGTCTTCGTTGGGTAAGTGAGGCATGGAAAAAAGAGGAGTTATGATTACCACACTGTAGCCAACGAATTCTTGACCTCCGATGCAAGTACATCTCTTCTCGGAGGAGGATGACATCTAATTCCGTCTGAACTTCTCTTTGGGCCTGATCATTTTCCACCAAAGACTGTTGAGCTTGGAGATGTGCTAAATGGCCCTTTAGAGTATGAATTTTCAACTTGTATTCCCAAACTCTCTCATACTCCACTCTTTCAAGCCCCGACGACAACTAGAAAGCTTTTGGCTCAGACGAAACGTAGACGATCCTATCTGAGGACACTTGTAAAAGGCTTTTCGTGCAAATCATGTACATAAAAGAATCAAATTGATCAAACAATCATATTAACGTACGTGTACTCCACAATAGTTCCTACATTATAATGGGGTTGAGAGACATCAATTTAACACGAATTAAATTAACACAAGTTGAGACGCTCAGCCAATTTTGACATAAATATTCAATTAGATTAGGTCACATACAAGAATTAAAGATGAACACACCTTTTCTTTTGACATAATCAATATCCATACCATTTGATAGTATGTGAAGATTTATTTTATGTTTTTTATTTTATTTTATATATATAGGAATCGTTTTAATGAGAATTTTTTTTATATGAAACATCATATGTAGGTGCGACTATGATACACCCCTTGAAAGGGGGAGAAGATTATTTATGTTGCATATAGGTAAATTACAAACACACCCTCTGAAGTTTATTTAAATTACAAATTGCCCCCTATGGTTTTAGAAATTACATTATGCCCTTAAAGGTTTCTAATTTCATAGCAAATATGTTCTTTTATTAATGAATCATCAAATTAATTAACAGTTTTTAATAATGTTAAAATTTTATTTCAATTAATAATTCAGATAATTTTATTATTGTATAGGTGAACAGTTAGAAATTTCACTTTTTCAATTAATTCTGTTAAATAAAAAATTCTGACAGGGAGATATTTGTAATTTTTCAAACCACAGGGGGTAATTCGTATTTTAAACAAATCTCAGAGGTGTATTTGTAATTTACCCTTTACATATATATTTTTTTCAAAACAACTAGAATGGAACATTTATACATGGGTGTGTCGGTATTTTTCCCTAATAATACAAGAAAAATATATGAAATAAATCAAATAAAAATGATAATTTATTATTATTATTATTATTAAAGAATTAAATTTAGAATAAACTATACAACTAAAAATACATAAATAAACTAGATTACATCATGGAACATATTACAAGATGGATTCCCATGAACATATAAAATAATATGCAAAAAATAGTTTAAATGTAAAAGTTTGAAGAACAAAAGATAAGAGATGCAAACCGAAGCCTATGTGATACCACAGTGTCCTTAAAACAGATTCACCGTCTCCCGATGGATGCTAGAGGTATGCCGCGCTTGTCTCCCAAGACACAACGGTTGAAAGCAACTAATGCAGAAACACCTTTTAAATAGCTTCGGCGAACTTGACAATGGTTACATTCTTTTTAACAAGAACCAAAGAAGAGGCTAACAAAAGAAGATAGGAAAAATTTTCTTTGGTGGAAAAAAACATCTCCAACTTTTTATCTCAAAATACCATCTCCATTTTCCATAAAAAATCTCTCCAAAATTCTTCTTCCAAGTTTGAAGGGAAAGGCCTCTATTTATACAAGTAGGGGAATTCCTAACCATAAAGGCTATACATCAATAGGGTCATCAAATACCATTAACCAGGGCCATAAACTCTAGCCATTAGGGCTAGAGTTACTAAGGTTGAAAACTTATGGCCACTAATATGGTCATCGACTCCATCATCAAAAAATGAGAGTTACAAAGGTCTAAACCTCCCATGTGCTTAATATATACAAATAAATATGTATATAATGATGTTTGAATAAACCAATTAGATGGGTCACAAAATGAATACTAACGTTGGGTGACAACCCAATCCAAACTCAATTCTCAAACACATACACAAGCTATGCTCAACACAACATAGCTTAGCTCAAGGTTAAGATTAAGTTCAAGTCTAAGTTCAAGACCAAACCCAACACAAGCACAAGTCTAGGCCCAGTCCAAACTAAGACTAAGTTTAAATCTAAACCCAACTTTATTGATACCCACTTTATTAGACAATTTTCATTCACAACTCAATAGTTTCGGTTCATTATTTTTATATTGTAATCTTTTCACTTAAGAGAATATAAAACCACTCAGACCCATTTCAATCAGCGGTTGGGTCCCACTTTAATTTCGAATTAAAGTTATTAAAAATCATTATTTTCCAACATGGTGCAACTACGATATACACCCCTTTTAAGAAAAAGATTATTTATTATATATATACATTTATTTATTTCCCAAAACAATTAGAATAAAGCGTTGATGAGAAGACTTTGAGCAACTCCATGCTAGTTTTAAAATGACAATGCCAAAACAAAAATTTACATTATGAGAAAATCAAAATTTAGCAATATTATTAGTGCAAATATTA